TATGGTGGCTAGACTTACCTTCTTATGGGCCATTTTTGAAGATTGAGTATTTTTCTACTTCCTCCTTAAAGGTCTGCATAACTAATATGACATCAAAATTATTTTTTGCTGAAGCTATTTTGCTATTTAAATGTTTTAGAGCCACTAGCACTTGTTTAAGGTCTATTTTTTGATTAAGTATGTTTAGTTCTTCAGTCACATTTATTAACTCACTAAAATTTGGGTTTTTTGTTTCGACACTTGTTGAGTTCCATGCGTTTTGATTGTTTGTTTGTTGTGTATAAGCGTTACGTGTAGGTAGTTGCGGAAAGTCAGAGTCTTTTCTAACAAATGTGCGCACTGGTCCTGTTGGTTGGGTTCTGTTATTTCTTCGTTCTAATTTTTCTTTATACACTTCGCAATTTACTGAATTTGCTGGGTGGTCTCCTCCGCAATTCGCACATTTAGCAGGTGTGGTTTTTGGTTTTTCACATGCATATGTTGGATGCTCTTCCGCACATTTTAGGCACTTATGTTTGTGTCTACAATTGGTTGTAGCATGTCCCCATGCTTGGCATCTATGGCACTGGATTATTTCTTTGTCATTTTTCCTCCTTTCCCAATAGACTCTGGTATGTAATAGGTATTTAACGTTTTGATTTAGCCACTTTAATGTGATACTGGCATTAGTTGTTATTAGGAAAAGCGGTCTGGTATTGGTTTTCATTTTGAAGATTTTTCTTATTTGAATTTCGTGTTCTTCAAGTAGTGCCGTTTGTATTTGATGTGCGTCTGGGTCTGTATCTAGACCTCTTAGAACGAAAGCGTGATTTCTTTCTGTAGGTAGGGTATAGGAATGATGATCCAACTCCGCACCTTCTAATTCTTGCAAGAGATTTTTATAATCATCTTCATCGTATACGAAAACTAGCGTAGAATTTTTGGTGAATTTTAGATGGAATCCTTTCCGTAAGGTTCGACTGATTTCTTTTGTTAATTCCTGATGGTTCTGGAACTTTTTGTTGATGACGATTGGTGGTATTTTTGATTTTCTTCTTGTTTGCTCTTGGTCTGGCTCAATAGTTTCACTTTCATCTTCTTCTTCCTCTTCTTCGTTATTATCGTTTGCTGTGAGTGGCTGGAATCGGTTCGTTATTTCAATATTTGTTGCTGATGTCTGTTGTTGCTTGACGTATTTTGTTAGAAAACATGTTTTTTTTGGTTTTAAGAACTCATTTTCAGGAGGAGAGCTCAGTCTCTTTTTTGTGTTTTCTACCGTTGATGCTTCCATTTTTGTTAATTGGTATGTCGCTTTTTCAATTGATGTTGTTGTTTCCATTGTTGATTGCTCCTTTCTGTTGATAGGAGTTTCGGGAAATATACCCGAAACTCCTAAATGTGTTGATTTTTCTGATATATTTGCACCTAAGTGTCTTTCACTATTTTTGTGTTAATAGTAATTATTAAAGTTTCTCACTGTTCACTTTTCACTGAAATCGCTTTATTGCTCAGAGTTGGTCACTTGCGCTCATGGCTCGCTTTCACCACCTCTGCACCGCGCGAGGGTTGGTTTGTGAATGGGACGAGAACTGGCGTATTCATTATGGTATGGCCGTTGCCTCTAATAAATGTAGCAATCATTGTAGATAAAACATTATTTTCTATAATATAATAAATTAGAAAAATTAAAAAAACAGGGGGGCAACGACACGCGGTATTCCCAAGCGGTCACCCATCCAAGTACTAACCGCGCCCAATAATGCTTAGCTGCAGTGATCGGACGAGAACTGGCGTATTCATTATGGTATGGCCGTTGCCTCTAATAAATGTAGCAATCATTGTAGATAAAACAATAATTTCAATAATATAATAAATTAGAAAAATTAAAAAAAAGAGGGGGCAACGACACGCGGTATTCCCAAGCGGTCACCCATCCAAGTACTAACCGCGCCCAATAATGCTTAGCTGCAGTGATCGGACGAGAACTCAATTCAATTCAAAATATCTTTATTTACAACTTATTAATTATTACATCATTTTTACATTAACACTAAACTAAATATTTATTACAACGGCGATTTTGTACTATTGAGTAATATAATGTACATAGTAAGCTCCTGGTATATCTTCATAGATTATACCACAAGCCCGGCCTGCTCTTAAGCCTCTGATACTTTTTGTGTGCTAATTGTATTTAGAATTTATTATTACTATTTTGTTATTTTCATCGTTTGTTTTTTTTTACGATATAATAACAATTTATTAGTTTATTGTACAGGTCGTATGCTAAATAGCTCTCGTAGAATTTATTGGTTTATTTTAATTATGCAGACTTTATGAGGAACTTTCTTTCAATAAACCTCATACATATAGTGGAATAATTATCTAGTATATAAGTATAGGAACGTTTTCTGTTAGCTTATTTATACAATATTCAATTTAGTTTTTAAATATTGTTAATTCCTGATGTACATATCCGTGTTTTTTATTTTGTGTGTTTGTTATTTTAATTTTACCGATGTTTTTTGTTAGTGGATTTGTTAATATTTGATCTCTGTAGAATTTTTCCGCTTTACTTAAAATATATTCTTTCATTTTTGGCATTCTGGCCCGTGCATGTAAAAGTTCAATCGGTGTGTATCTGTTACCATTAGTTATAATTCTTAGTATTTTATTTTGTATTACTTGTAACCTGTTGATGAGCGTTTTTGGTGCTGAACAGAAAACGTTACTACCATAGGTTAAAATTGGACGAATTATTGTTTTGTATATTAAAGTTTTGTTTTTTAGTGACATTTTACTTTTTCGATTTATTAGGGGATATAATGCTTTTACAGCGGTATTTGTTTTATCGGTTAGGTATTTTATGTGGTGTTTCCAACTGAGTCGTTTGTGTAGTACTACTCCTAGATATTTTACGGTTTCTTTCTCTTCTATATTCGCGTGTTCTACTTTTAGCTTTCTATATATTTTAGTGTCATTCTTTTTTACAGAGAAGTTTATAACTTCAGTCTTTGTTGGATTTATTTCTATTTTATTATCTTCCAGAAATGGTTTTATGTTTTTAATTAGGTGGTATTGAATTTTTCTGGTTGCCACATCCGAAGAGAAGGATGTTGCATAAAGACATGCATCATCTGCATATAACGCCGTATTTACATTAGACGCTTGAGGATATTTTCTGGTATATATAGAGAACAGAGTTGGACTGAGTGCAGATCCCTGTGGGATACCTCTGTTCAATTCGTATTCTTGTGAAGTTTCATTGTTTACCTGAATTTTAAATTTTCGTACTGTTATTGCGTTAGAAATTAGCCTTACGAAGCAATTCGATATTCCGGAGTCAAGCATGTTATTAATGAGCCCCGGAATCCAGACTGTGTCGAATGCTTTTTGTGTGTCTAACAGTACGGCTACAGTATTTTGATTTTTTCTATAGTTCGTTTTTATGTCATGTACAACTCGGACCACTTGCGATTCGGTCGAATGACCCGCTCGAAATCCGTATTGTACATCTGGGATTAGTTTTCTTTCCTTTATTTCATCCTTCAATCGTTCATGTAGGACGGTGTCAAATATTTTACCTACGATGGACAGCAATGATATTGGTCTATAACTATTAGGATTAGTAGGATCTTTACCCGGTTTTAGTATTGGGGTGATTAGAGCAGTTTTGAGGCATTTTGGATAGTACATGTTTCTTATGGAATTGTTTATCATGTAAGTCAGTTTTACAATTGCTTTTTTAGTTATGTTTTTAATTATTTTGTTTTCAATTCCATCTATACCCGGTGCTTTATTATTTGGCATATTTTTGATTATACTGTAAATTTCCATGGGAGTAGTTAAATATTTATTTAATTCTTTTTTCGACCAATTTAATTTCTTATTTTTAAATGCATTTATTTTGGTTTCTATATTATTATGATATTGGTTATTCGGGGTGTTTTTGTGTATTTCTTCCATGTTAAGCGCTAAACCTTCAGCTTTTTCTTTATCTGATAGAAGATTTTTATTTTTATATATTAATGAGGATATACTTTGGTATTTTTTCTTCAGATTTTTAGTTATTTTCCATAGGGAATTATTTTCAGTTGTCGCATTTCGTATTTTTTGATGCCATATTCTTTTTCTGTAAGACTTGATTTTTCTTCTTACTATTTGTTTCAATTCGAGATGTTTTTGGCGGTCTATTTGACTCCCAAACTGCTGCCACCTTTTTCTTGTAATTTGTTTTTCTTTGATAATTTTTTCCAAAGATGCGGGAAATTTATCTTTGTATATATTTATTTGTTTTTTTTCTGTGTGTTTAATCATCAATTTCTGTAGCAATTTTATAAATTCCTCGAATTCTATATCTATATCTTCTTTTGACACACCGCCGATTTTACGATTTATTTTGATATTATTGTTCAATTCGAATCTGTACTGAGACAGGTTTAGATAATTTTTGTACATTTTTATATATTATATAATCTATGGTTGATGGCGTGTTATTTCTATTGTAAGGATATAGAGTTGGTTTTCGTGGGGCCGTTAGGATTAATCCGTTTTGTTCCGTAAAATATTTTATAGTGTTTCCATTTGGGTTAGCCCGGTTACAACCCCAGTCTTCATGACGTCCGTTTAAATCTCCTATTATTACGATTTTATTACCCCAAAATAGGAAGGTTTCTAAATCTTGGAAATTGAGGATGTTTCTCGGGTTGTTATAGACCCCTATGATTACTGTACCATCTTGTAGTTTTATTGCTACATTTTCAATTGTTGTATTTTGGTTATTTCCCAAAAACATGTGAGGCATTTCGTTTTTAACTAGAAGTGCTATGCCTCCGCCACGTGTTTGGGTTTCTCTGTCCTTTCTGTAAACTTTATATCTCCTAACATAAAATTTTTCAAAAGGTCTAAGTTTCGTTTCTGTTACGACAATTACATCTAAATTTTTGTTCATTATAAAATAGATAAATTCGTCAATTTTATTATTTATTCCATCTACATTTATAGTTGAAAGACTCACCTCTTTATTTCCCATTTTTGAAGAAAGTATATTCGTTGACTTCGTCCTTGAAAGCCTGCATAATTAAAATTACATCGAAATTGTTTTTCGCTCTCGATATTCTCTGATTCAAGTCTTTCAAAGCTTCTAGCACTTGTTTCATATTAATTTGTTCGTTAAGCTTATTTAGCTCATTTGTCACTTCACTAATATCACTGAAATCCATCGTCGGGTGTTTGACTGGAATGTCTGTCGTCCTGTTGGCCCAGGGAGCTCTTCTGGTTACTGGTGGTATCCTGTTGGGTTCCTTCTGGTAAGCAGCACTTGTTGATGGCAGTGATAGTTCTGGAAATTCTTCTGTTCTTAATGTGAACGGGTTGTTCCTTTTTATTTGGATCTGTTTGTTTGGTCTATTTTGGCTTTTTCTTTCGATTTTATCCAAGTAGACTTTACATTTCGTTGAGTTTGCAGGATGATCCTCTCCACAATTTGCGCATACTGCCGGCATATCTATTGTTTTCTTGCACATATATGTCGGATGATCTTTGGCACATTTTAGACACTTGTAATCACGTCTACAATTTGATGTGGCATGTCCCCACGATTGGCATCTGTGACACTGTATTATTTCTTTGTTGGTTTGACGTCTATCCCAATATACTCGCGTTTGTAGTAAATATTTAACATTTTGATTCAACCAGTTTAACGTGATTCCTGCATTCGTTGTTATGAGATATAATGGTCTAGATTTCGTTTTCATCCTGAATATCTTTCTAGTTGTAATTTGATGTTCGTTATGTAACGCGTCTTCTATTACTGTTAATTCTGGATCGGTATCTAAGCCTCTTAATACAAAAGCATGACTTTTATCTTTTGGTAGAGTGTAATAATGATGTTCAAGTTCGGTGTCTTCTAATTCCTTTAGTAGCGTTTTATATTCGTTTTCATCCTCCGCAAAAATTAATGTTGTGTTTTTTGTAAATTTTAGGTAAAATCCTTTGGTCAGTGTTTTTTTTATCTCTTTCGTGAGTTCATTGTGATTTTCAAACTTTTTGTTAATTACTATTGGTGGAATTTTCGTCTTTTCATTTGTTTCTTTGGCTATTTTCTCGTTTTCGTAGTTACTGACTCCGGCTTGTTCTTCTTCTTCTTGTTCATTTTCCTCGGTTCTAAGATTTTCGTACCTATTAGTTGTTATAAAACTAATGTTTTTAATCGTTGGTGCTTGTTTAGCATATTTTGATAAAAAACACACCTTCTTAGGTTTTTGGAATTCTTCTTCGTTTGGAGATGTTTGCCTCTTTTTTGTATTGTCTTTTTCGATTTCCATTTGCACATGTTGTGATAAATTTTTGATTCGACTTTCGTTGTCCATTTTTGAGGTGGTACCGGGGTAAACCCCGGTTCCCTTGACACTTATTGAGTTTTCCTTTGTTATTTAGAGTTTTATTTTTTTTTTTTTTACTTTTCACTTTAAAATGATGATTGTCTTTTTTAGTCTTATTAGTTATTGGTAACTACACTCTTGTACTTCGCTCCTGAGAGCGATTTGTTTGTAACTCCACTATTCCACTTTTTTATTATGGTCTAGATGGTTTATTACGGTCAGGTCAACACGTCTTCACTAGTCGAGGGTTGAGTTGGAACTGGACGAGAACTGGCGTATTCATTATGGTATGGCCGTTGCCTCTAATAAATGTAGCAATCATTGTAGATAAAACAATAATATCTATAATATTATAAATTAGAAAAATAAAAAAAAAGAGGGAAGCAACGACACGCGGTATTCCCAAGCGGTCACCCATCCAAGTACTAACCGCGCCCAATAATGCTTAGCTGCAGTGATCGGACGAGAACTGGCGTATTCATTATGGTATGGCCGTTGCCTGTAATAAATGTAGCAATCATTGTAGATAAAACAATAATATCTATAATATTATAAATTAGAAAAATTAAAAAAAAAGAGGGAAGCAACGACACGCGGTATTCCCAAGCGGTCACCCATCCAAGTACTAACCGCGCCCAATAATGCTTAGCTGCAGTGATCGGACGAGAACTGGCGTATTCATTATGGTATGGCCGTTGCCTCTAATAAATGTAGCAATCATTGTAGATAAAACAATAATATCTATAATATTATAAATTAGAAAAATAAAAAAAAAGAGGGAAGCAACGACACGCGGTATTCCCAAGCGGTCACCCATCCAAGTACTAACCGCGCCCAATAATGCTTAGCTGCAGTGATCGGACGAGAACTGGCGTATTCATTATGGTATGGCCGTTGCCTCTAATAAATGTAGCAATCATTGTAGATAAAACAATAATATCTATAATATTATAAATTAGAAAAATAAAAAAAAAGAGGGAAGCAACGACACGCGGTATTCCCAAGCGGTCACCCATCCAAGTACTAACCGCGCCCAATAATGCTTAGCTGCAGTGATCGGACGAGAACTGGCGTATTCATTATGGTATGGCCGTTGCCTCTAATAAATGTAGCAATCATTGTAGATAAAACAATAATATCTATAATATTATAAATTAGAAAAATAAAAAAAAAGAGGGAAGCAACGACACGCGGTATTCCCAAGCGGTCACCCATCCAAGTACTAACCGCGCCCAATAATGCTTAGCTGCAGTGATCGGACGAGAACTGGCGTATTCATTATGGTATGGCCGTTGCCTGTAATAAATGTAGCAATCATTGTAGATAAAACAATAATATCTATAATATTATAAATTAGAAAAATTAAAAAAAAAGAGGGAAGCAACGACACGCGGTATTCCCAAGCGGTCACCCATCCAAGTACTAACCGCGCCCAATAATGCTTAGCTGCAGTGATCGGACGAGAACTGGCGTATTCATTATGGTATGGCCGTTGCCTCTAATAAATGTAGCAATCATTGTAGATAAAACAATAATATCTATAATATTATAAATTAGAAAAATAAAAAAAAAGAGGGAAGCAACGACACGCGGTATTCCCAAGCGGTCACCCATCCAAGTACTAACCGCGCCCAATAATGCTTAGCTGCAGTGATCAAATCAAATCAAATCAAAAATAACTTTATTTACAACTATTTACAAAAATACAATATCAACACATGTAATATTAATATTTACAATACCTAAAAAATAAATAATAAATATTGCACAAAAATACTGTCATGGTGTTTTACAAAATTATTTTATTTCTTTGGTTCCTGCCTGTTTGGCTTACCCAAAAGTGTGACTATTTTATTTTGAGTAAAATCAAGACAATTCCTGCGCCGACTATTTTGTTTTATTTTCGTATTTTAATTAAATTATTAATTGTTTTACTGGAAAATAAATTTTAAAAAACCAGTTTAAAGCAATTTACTTGATGAGGGAAAACGAGCCAAACTAGTTAGCTGTTGGGGTAAAATTTAAAAGTATATATGTATTTTTTTTTAAGTGTTATTGAATATTGACAAATTTTGATGAATCAGTCTGTGTTTTAATTTAAAAGGGGTATTATGTTTTTGAATATTAGTGATGTTAATTGTTTCGGGTGAGGCCCTAATTGATTTAGTGTAAAATTTGACACTTAGTTTGTCCACATACTCCCTGATGGTAGGCATGTCACATTGTTCGTGTAGGTCAGTTATTCTTGTTCTTATATTGGCGTTTAATATTAATCTTAATATTTTATTTTGTAAAATTTGTAACGACCTGAATGACCAATCAGGTAGTGAGCACCATATTGGACACGCATATGTCATCACCGGTCTTATCATAGCTTTATATAAAAGTAATTTATTTTTAGTACTTAGTTTACTTTTTCTAGCAATTAGGGGGTACAGCTGTCGATTGCATTGAATTGCCTTTTTTCTTACCTTAGCGATTTGCGGAAGAAAGCTTAATCTTTGATCGAGGGTGAATCCCAGATAGTCAACGGATTTTGAAGGTACTATTTTGTGTTGTCCTATTTTGAGAGGTGTTATTATTTTATTATTTGTTACTTTTTTACTAAAGACAATTTGCTGAGTTTTATCGGCGTTTATTGTTATTTTGTATTTTTCGTAGTAGTCTAAAATTTTGTTTATATGATACTGTTGTAATTGGTTCGCCGCTTGTGCATAGAACGAGTGGGAGTAAACAGCAGTATCATCTGCAAATAATGCGATTTTTGAATTTGGGAAGGATGGTATGTCAGAAACGAAAATGCCGAATAACTGAGGCCCCAAAACGGAGCCTTGGGGTACACCAGCCCTAACAGGTCTCATCTCTGACGTGACACTTCCTACCTTGACACAAAGCCTTCGGTCGGTCAGGTATGAGTGGATGAGTTTAACGAATTCAGTGCTAAAATTGAATTTAATCATTTTGTATATTAGTGCGTCGATCCAGACACGGTCGAAGGCCTTCTGTATATCTAAGAGTGTCATTACAGTATTCATGTTTTTGTTAAAATTAACAGTAATGTCATTACAAATTCTGGCAATTTGCATGCTTGTGCTATGCCTTTTTTTGAAACCAAACTGGCAAGTGTCTTTTATACTTGTTGTAGGTAGTTGGAGTTGAAGTTTCTTTAAAATAACCTTTTCAGCAACTTTAGATAGCATAGCCAACAAGCTTATTGGTCTGTAGCTGTTAAGTAAGGATTGGTTTTTTCCAGGCTTGGGAATTGGAATTACTAATGCTGATTTCCACACAGAGGGCCAATGTTGTAATTTTATAATGGAGTTGATAATGTAATGAAACTGAACCAATGTTTTTTTAGGTATATTTTTGATAAGCTTATTGTCTATGCCATCTAGACCTGGAGCCCTGTCATTAGGTATTTTTTAATTATAGTTTTAAGTTCAAGTGGAGTAGTTAGTAATTTGATATCTTTTGGAAAGTTAATTTTTTCATTTTCAAATTTGTTAATAGTTGATTTGATTTCATTATAAAAGTTTTTGTGTTCTTGTTTGTCGTTTAAATCAGAAAGATCATGAATTTTTTCAAATAATTTGGAGAGGGCATTGGCCTTTTCTTTATCACATATATATTTTTCATTTTCATTTTTGGGATTTTTAAGTGTTGGTATGCTATTATTTTTGTCTTTATTGATATTTTTTGACAATTTCCAAAGTTCCTTGTTGTCATTGTTTGCCCTTTCTATAATTTTTTCCCATTCTGCATCTTTATGTTTGGCTATTTCAACGGCTATATTTTGAGTTATTGTTTTTAAGTCTTGTCTCACTGTTGCTGTTCCCCGTCTTTGCCCGATTTTACGCAATTTGTTTTTTTGCCTAATTAAGTCTAAAATTTCATCAGTTAATCCGCATTTATTTAGATATATGGTTTTTTCCTTACGTACTATTTTTTGTGCTGTTATTAAAAGTTGTGTTAAATTATCGACCTCTTTCTCCAATTCTTGAATGTTCTGAATATTATTATTTATTACTGTGTTTTTACTTAAATATAATTTATAAGTGTCCCAGTCCGCATTTTCATATGTATTTATTTTGATGGAATTTATACCTTCTGTGTGATTAGTTAAGCTGAAAAAAACTGGATTATGATCAGAACACAAATCATTTAGAGAGACAGGTTGAGAATTTGTAGTGACGCCTCGATTAACTATCAGATCAATTGTGGTTGGGGTGCTACCATTTTCTGGAAGATGGGTTGCTTTGTCTGGATGTTGAATTACTGCATCTGAATTTTGAATATATTGAAAAAGTGTATTTCCATTTGTGTTATTGGCATTGCAGTTCCAAGAGGAATGCTTAGCGTTTAAATCCCCCACGACAAGTGATCCGTTTTTATTTAATAATATTTTTATGTCGTTAGTAGAAAAATGATTGAGTGGTTTGTTATATACGGCTGTTAGGGTTATTTTTGAATCTAGAGTTATACTTAAATGTTCAATGGATGTATCGAGTGATTTGTTCTCAACGAAATTAACGCCTTTTTTGATGCCTATAGCCACGCCGCCGTAGCCATCATCCCTTTTTTTAGTTAGTATTGTGTACCCCTTGATTTTTATTGATTCATGTTGCTTAAGTTGAATTTCATTTAACATGAATATCCAAACCTTTTTCCTAATTAAGAATTCTTTTAGTTGTTCTAATTTGGCTCGTTTTCCCTTGTAGATGCCTCCACAGTTCCAGGTAACTATATTTATTTTTTTTGTTTTATTCATTACTGTCATTGTTGAGCTTTTGTGTAAAATTATAGAAGGCAGTGAATTTTTCTAATTCGGTATGGCAATTTTTCAGGATATTATTTAGTTCTTTTATTAAGTTAATGTATTTATTAATGTTTATTAGTGAATTAAGGGTGTTCATTTCAGAAATTAAGTTGTTAAAATTGTCGTGGGCAGGAATTGTGTTATTCACTTGTTTAGTGGTTATTGAATTATTTAGCTGAGTCACATTATTTGGGCTTACCTTGTTTGGCAGAGCTGGAAATTGTTTACTATTGGTAATGTCCACCGGATTCCTTTGCTGTCTTACTTCCCATGCGTTTTTATCTGGTAGTGGGGCCTTCACATACGCTTTTCTTGTCCCATTTGTGTTTGGAATATTCTTCTGTTTAAGTTCATTTAGTTTGTCAATTTTTTGTAAGTATACCCGACACTGGGTGCTGTTCGCTGGATGTTCTCCTTCACAATTAATGCATTTTGGTGGATCACAGTCGGGTTTTTGGCAGTCTTTTGTAAAATGTTCATTTGCACACTTCATGCAAACAGGTTGGGCTCTGCAATTACTAGTAGCATGTCCCCACATTTGGCAACGGTGACACTGGGTTATTAGTTTATTATTGTAATGTCTACTCCACTGAATTTTAATATTATTGAGTATTTGCACTTTTTGTTGTAAATTTTTAAGGGTTACGGTGTCATCGGTCACTATTAAATAAGCTGGTCTTACAGTTCCTTTCATTTCGAACACATTTTTAATTGATAACTTGTATGAGTTTTCTAATTCTTCTTGTATTTCTTCCATAGATGGTTTGTTGTCAAGTCCCTTTATTACAAAGGCATGTGTTTTTTCGTTTTTAGATGTGTACGAATGGTATTCGACTTGTGAGGCTTCCAGTACTTCTTTGGTATCTTTCCAGTCTTGTAGATCGTTGATAAAGATTGTTATCGTCTCTTTATTGTATTTAATACTGAATCCCTTTGGGGCCATTAATTTTAGTTGTTCGATTAAATATTTGTGGTCATCTACCGTGTTATGTATAATTATTGGTGGAGGTTTTATGACCCTGTCGACGTTCTTGGTATTTTTCTTTAGTGCATTTTTGTTTAATTGTGTTGTTGTATTGTTTGGTTTATGTATTTGTGTTGAGCTGCCTTCGCATGTCATGCTATTATCGTTTTCATCTTCTTCATTTTGCAGGTTTTCGAAGGAATTTTGAGTGAGTGGGTAAGTTTTGTTACTTCTGTTGTTAGCAGCAGCTTTTATTTTTGTTGTAGGGTGCGTGATTGTTTCGTCGTTTTCATCACATGTTCTTTTTCGTTTTCTGTGTTTGTTGAATTTGTTCGAGTCCAGGGTTATCGTATTTTTCTTCTTTATTTGTAGGTTTTCGATGTCTGGATCGTCATCGCCCGGGGTGGGCATTTTTATTAGTGTTTATTATGCAGAATTTTACTTGTTTGCACTATTTACAGTTGTATTTACTCTGTTTAAAAGAGTTATTGTGAAAACGCACGTTGCGTTTTTAGGTTAGGTTAGTAGGTATAAAAACACTACTGACAGGTACGTTTACTTTCGCAGAGCGCTCAAGCACGTCCGTTCGCTGCAGTGATCGGACGAGAACTGGCGTATTCATTATGGTATGGCCGTTGCCTCTAATAAATGTAGCAATCATTGTAGATAAAACATTATTTTCTATAATATAATAAATTAGAAAAATTGAAAAAAAGAGGGAAGCAACGACACGCGGTATTCCCAAGCGGTCACCCATCCAAGTACTAACCGCGCCCAATAATGCTTAGCTGCAGTGATCGGACGAGAACTGGCGTATTCATTATGGTATGGCCGTTGCCTGTAATAAATGTAGCAATCATTGTAGATAAAACAATAATATCTATATTATAAATTAGAAAAATTAAAAAAAAAGAGGGAAGCAACGACACGCGGTATTCCCAAGCGGTCACCCATCCAAGTACTAACCGCGCCCAATAATGCTTAGCTGCAGTGATCGGACGAGAACTGGCGTATTCATTATGGTATGGCCGTTGCCTCTAATAAATGTTGCAATCATTGTAGATAAAACAATAATATCTATATTATAAATTAGAAAAATTAAAAAAAAAGAGGGAAGCAACGACACGCGGTATTCCCAAGCGGTCACCCATCCAAGTACTAACCGCGCCCAATAATGCTTAGCTGCAGTGATCGGACGAGAACTGGCGTATTCATTATGGTATGGCCGTTGCCTCTAATAAATGTTGCAATCATTGTAGATAAAACAATAATATCTATATTATAAATTAGAAAAATTAAAAAAAAAAGAGGGAAGCAACGACACGCGGTATTCCCAAGCGGTCACCCATCCAAGTACTAACCGCGCCCAATAATGCTTAGCTGCAGTGATCGGACGAGAACTGGCGTATTCATTATGGTATGGCCGTTGCCTGTAATAAATGTAGCAATCATTGTAGATAAAACAATAATATCTATATTATAAATTAGAAAAATTAAAAAAAAAGAGGGAAGCAACGACACGCGGTATTCCCAAGCGGTCACCCATCCAAGTACTAACCGCGCCCAATAATGCTTAGCTGCAGTGATCGGACGAGAACTGGCGTATTCATTATGGTATGGCCGTTGCCTCTAATAAATGTAGCAATCATTGTAGATAAAACAATAATATCTATATTATAAATTAGAAAAATTAAAAAAAAAAGAGGGAAGCAACGACACGCGGTATTCCCAAGCGGTCACCCATCCAAGTACTAACCGCGCCCAATAATGCTTAGCTGCAGTGATCGGACGAGAACTGGCGTATTCATTATGGTATGGCCGTTGCCTCTAATAAATGTTGCAATCATTGTAGATAAAACAATAATATCTATATTATAAATTAGAAAAATTAAAAAAAAAGAGGGAAGCAACGACACGCGGTATTCCCAAGCGGTCACCCATCCAAGTACTAACCGCGCCCAATAATGCTTAGCTGCAGTGATCGGACGAGAACTGGCGTATTCATTATGGTATGGCCGTTGCCTCTAATAAATGTTGCAATCATTGTAGATAAAACAATAATATCTATATTATAAATTAGAAAAATTAAAAAAAAAGAGGGAAGCAACGACACGCGGTATTCCCAAGCGGTCACCCATCCAAGTACTAACCGCGCCCAATAATGCTTAGCTGCAGTGATCGGACGAGAACTGGCGTATTCATTATGGTATGGCCGTTGCCTCTAATAAATGTTGCAATCATTGTAGATAAAACAATAATATCTATATTATAAATTAGAAAAATTAAAAAAAAAGAGGGAAGCAACGACACGCGGTATTCCCAAGCGGTCACCCATCCAAGTACTAACCGCGCCCAATAATGCTTAGCTGCAGTGATCGGACGAGAACTGGCGTATTCATTATGGTATGGCCGTTGCCTCTAATAAATGTAGCAATCATTGTAGATAAAACAATAATATCTATAATATTATAAATTAGAAAAATAAAAAAAAAGAGGTAAGCAACGACACGCGGTATTCCCAAGCGGTCACCCATCCAAGTACTAACCGCGCCCAATAATGCTTAGCTGCAGTGATCGGACGAGAACTGGCGTATTCATTATGGTATGGCCGTTGCCTCTAATAAATGTTGCAATCATTGTAGATAAAACAATAATATCTATATTATAAATTAGAAAAATTAAAAAAAAAGAGGGAAGCAACGACACGCGGTATTCCCAAGCGGTCACCCATCCAAGTACTAACCGCGCCCAATAATGCTTAGCTGCAGTGATCGGACGAGAACTGGCGTATTCATTATGGTATGGCCGTTGCCTGTAATAAATGTAGCAATCATTGTAGATAAAACAATAATATCTATAATATTATAAATTAGAAAAATTAAAAAAAAAGAGGGAAGCAACGACACGCGGTATTCCCAAGCGGTCACCCATCCAAGTACTAACCGCGCCCAATAATGCTTAGCTGCAGTGATCGGACGAGAACTGGCGTATTCATTATGGTATGGCCGTTGCCTGTAATAAATGTAGCAATCATTGTAGATAAAACATTATTTTCTATAATATAATAAATTAGAAAAATTGAAAAAAAGAGGGAAGCAACGACACGCGGTATTCCCAAGCGGTCACCCATCCAAGTACTAACCGCGCCCAATAATGCTTAGCTGCAGTGATCGGACGAGAACTGGCGTATTCATTATGGTATGGCCGTTGCCTCTAATAAATGTTGCAATCATTGTAGATAAAACAATAATATCTATATTATAAATTAGAAAAATTAAAAAAAAAGAGGGAAGCAACGACACGCGGTATTCCCAAGCGGTCACCCATCCAAGTACTAACCGCGCCCAATAATGCTTAGCTGCAGTGATCGGACGAGAACTGGCGTATTCATTATGGTATGGCCGTTGCCTCTAATAAATGTTGCAATCATTGTAGATAAAACAATAATATCTATATTATAAATTAGAAAAATTAAAAAAAAAGAGGGAAGCAACGACACGCGGTATTCCCAAGCGGTCACCCATCCAAGTACTAACCGCGCCCAATAATGCTTAGCTGCAGTGATCGGACGAGAACTGGCGTATTCATTATGGTATGGCCGTTGCCTCTAATAAATGTAGCAATCATTGTAGATAAAACATTATTTTCTATAATATAATAAATTAGAAAAATTGAAAAAAAGAGGGAAGCAACGACACGCGGTATTCCCAAGCGGTCACCCATCCAAGTACTAACCGCGCCCAATAATGCTTAGCTGCAGTGATCGGACGAGAACTGGCGTATTCATTATGGTATGGCCGTTGCCTCTAATAAATGTTGCAATCATTGTAGATAAAACAATAATATCTATATTATAAATTAGAAAAATTAAAAAAAAAGAGGGAAGCAACGACACGCGGTATTCCCAAGCGGTCACCCATCCAAGTACTAACCGCGCCCAATAATGCTTAGCTGCAGTGATCGGACGAGAACTGGCGTATTCATTATGGTATGGCCGTTGCCTCTAATAAATGTAGCAATCATTGTAGATAAAACATTATTTTCTATAATATAATAAATTAGAAAAATTGAAAAAAAGAGGGAAGCAACGACACGCGGTATTCCCAAGCGGTCACCCATCCAAGTACTAACCGCGCCCAATAATGCTTAGCTGCAGTGATCGGACGAGAACTGGCGTATTCATTATGGTATGGCCGTTGCCTCTAATAAATGTTGCAATCATTGTAGATAAAACAATAATATCTATATTATAAATTAGAAAAATTAAAAAAAAAGAGGGAAGCAACGACACGCGGTATTCCCAAGCGGTCACCCATCCAAGTACTAACCGCGCCCAATAATGCTTAGCTGCAGTGATCGGACGAGAACTGGCGTATTCATTATGGTATGGCCGTTGCCTCTAATAAATGTAGCAATCATTGTAGATAAAACAATAATATCTATATTATAAATTAGAAAAATTAAAAAAAAAGAGGGAAGCAACGACACGCGGTATTCCCGGTATCATCCGATTAAAAAAACTTAAATAAAATAATTAAAATTTCCTATACTTGCCGCGTTTGGAAGACGGAGTAATAAACACATTAATCAGCCGAAGTCCACCCGGGGTGTAAACGAGTCGCCGATATCACTCACTCCCCATTGGCCGGTCTAAAAGTTGATACTCTGTGAATGGTTTTGAGTAATTGTAGGCGATGTGCGAAATTTCTATCGATCGAATCGATCATTGTACAGGATTTTGCCGTACAGGGGTAGGGATATTTTGGAACCGCCTGACATTTTTATTACTCCGTCTTCCAAACGCGCCAAGTATAGAATACTATAATTTTAGGAAATTTTGTGCTCTATAACTTTTATAATGGCTATTTTTAACCTAGGTGGCACTTGAATGGAAATATTACCAAAAAACTGAATTTGCGTACCTTTTTTCCAATATGGCGGCGCGAGCGGCGGTCTAAATGGGCTCATTCGATAAAATTTAGAATTTGATCAAACTTTATATACATAAAGAAGAGGTCAAAAAAATGAATACTGAAAGTTTCAAGTTGATCCGATCAGCGGTTCTTTGATTATTCGAGTTTAAAGATGCGATTATTTGTCTCCGCGATAGTACGATGATGACGTCATTGCATGCGATCTCTCCGCTGTCCGCTTCGCATTCACTTAACTTGCATTGCATTCGCGATCGTTTCGTCTTTTTAACGACTATGTTTAATTGATTATATAGGGTAATTATAATAAATAATTAATGCTAATTGTAAGTATAATATTTTGGTTATCGATTAATGAGATTATGTACGTAAAAATATTTAGGAATACCTAAATAATAACTATAATACCTACCTATGTAAGTTTTGGATTTTGCTCTATAACATGTATTACCCTTTTTATAATGTTCTCTAAATAGGAAG